TACTGATGTAAGTCTGGCTAAGGTCTGGGGCCGGACACCTGCTCCCTGTCGGATTCAGGCCAGAAGCCCCCGGGAGAGAGGGGGGGCGTGTTACCAACACACACAGGAGCAAGAAACACTCTGCTCCCTGCTCCCGGGCCAAGGAGGAGCTGAGACTAGGGAGGTAAAATCCCGTGGAATCAGTGCATTGGTGAAACGTTACATTTAACCGGGGAACCACTTCACCCGGACCCCCCGGCCCTCTGCCTGTGCCGGGCCCAAGCTGCGGGCGGGGGGCTGCTCCAGCCTGGCCAGGTGGTGGGATAACCGGTTACCGGTAAGCATCACCCGGTGAGCCAGTTACCTCCCTGGCTGACACACGAGGGCAGTGGAGGAGCGCCACCCTGTGGCTCTGCTGAGCCACTGCCAGCGACCCAGCTGGCTGGCTCCGGCATGGGGGCAGAGTGCCAGCGAGGCGGTCGGTCTGGCCCCACCTGCTGTTACGGTGAGTGTGCCGGGCGAGCCGGGGTGCTTTCCCCTCCTGCTGTCCTGGTGTGGCATGGCCAGGGTGGCCACCCTCATGCTCCAGGGCACAGGGACGGGAAGGATTCATCTCCCTCCCCGCTCCCCTTCTACCGGAGCAGAACTAGCTCCTTGCTGGGCTGCCTTAGGGAGGTGCCGGGTGCCCCCGATGGGCTAGCTCTGTGGCTGAGTCACAGCGCTGTTCCCCTGTGCCGTTAGGCAGGCTCTGAGCGCTGGCCAGCTGATCTCAGAGGGACAGGCCCAGCGTGGGCACCAGGGGCTGGGCACGCTTTGCCCAGGGGCCCCCTGAAAGCAGCAGCTTTGCATGGGGGAGCAGAGGGCTGGGTACCCCCGAGGTGAGTGCCTCTTTCTCCTGGCCACACTCCCACCCCGGAGCCCCTCTCGGCTCAGAGACCACGGGGCTGAGTGGCTCCGTGTCTGCAGCAGGGCGAGCTGGTCGACGCGGGGGACAAACGTCGCAGGGGGGGACGTGCAGCCCGCAGTAGGGGCACCGCACCACACTGCTCTGGGGGAGGCCCAGCATGGAGCGGCTGAACCAGAGCCCGGGGTGGGGGGAGGCGTTTGCTCCCTCGGAAGCATCCCTCTGCAGATCTGGTTAGTCTGCCCCAGGGCCCGGCCGGGTACCTACAATGGCACCAGCCCTGCTTTGGCTGGGCCACGGCCGCTGGGAATGAAGCTGCCTGCCTGACTGTCAGCAGCCCTTCCACTCAGCTCACCCCATAGGCTCTAATCTTTGCACTGGCTCCAGCTGGCCAGGAGGGTCAGTGTCCTGACAGGCAAAGCCCGGGGGAGTGGCCATCGCTCCCTCCATGCTTGTGACTTCCCCCGGCTCCACTGAGACAAGGCTCATGTGCGTGGGCCCTTCCCCAGGAGCCGGACCTCTGGAACTCACTGCCACATGAGCTAAGGATCGCCACCGGCAACGCCCCTCCCTCCCTGCACATGCATCCGCCCTCCATGCTGGCCTGCACACACACCGAGGTGCGAGACACTCCAAACTGGCTGGCCACAAAGAGCTGTAACCCCCGGGCCTCCCTCTGGGGGGCGGGAATCCCGGAACCCCTCCATGGGGTGTCACGCCCACGAGCTCAATGTCTGGCAGCCCTGAGGCTACATCTACATGGTGGTTATTTTCGGCAGAAGATATGCAAATAGAGTGCTCATTTGCAGATCT